GCTGCTTGCGTTGTGCCCGAAACGTCGTGAGAATGATTTTATTGTTTTATTTTTATTATTTTATTATTCCCCTTCTACGTGACTTTACCGAAAGAACCAAGAAGATGAATCCTTGCTGTATATAACCACCTTCCCCTGGCAGAGCCAGGGTACGGCACCTCCTTGAGGCCCGTGGGAGGGGAGTTTCACAACGACACGTTGCGGTGATCCAGCTACCTTCGCTGATGCCTCCACGGCGCTGGGTTACAACGCAGCCACCACTCTTGGCTTCCATATCGAGATCATTCATTGCATGGCCTCTGTGCAGCAGGGCAGATGTTTATTTTACGCCTCCTGGCCACATCCTATGAGCAATCAAAGTGGTTCCTCTCAGTGGCAGGCGCCTCGATTTTTTTTGGTTCAGTAATTAAACACGTGGGTTAGGCGAGCGTGCAGATGTAGTAGTATTACAACTGTGTGCGCGATTGGTCAGACTCTGTCCCATATAACTTACGTGGACGGAAAGCTCATTCAACTGTATGCTAAAAGCATTTCAGTCCGCATTACGTGAAGTGACCGTTCATTAGGGTGGTGCCACTCTCGTTATGTACACGGAAAAAGTAAAAAAAAAAACGATTTCTGGGATCACACACCCTGTTCTCAATTAGCCACTCTTGGTGTGAAAGTCAATAACTAAGGACGGCCATTCTAATCCGCTCACATTACTGGTGGCTAAGGATCTCACCCCCCCCTGCGCCACCTCTTCTCTACAAACATGCCCTTTTAAGCTGTGGGCACTTGTGTGTTGGCTGTCACGCATTGCTCAACTCAACCGAGCACCCAGTAAACATTGGGGGGATTGTCTCTGAACGCGCGGTGAGTCAGTGCAACAAACCAATACATCCGCGAGGCATGACCGTGAAGATAACGCTGATATTTTGAGTGGCACCCCATGACGAAAGGTCATTGCCCGAAACGTCGCCAATTATACATGTTATTGTTTTAAGAGCAGAGTTTTATGGAGGAATGTGTTGTTTTGAGTTGTTGTTGGTTGTGAACCGCTTCCAAAGCAACGGAAGCAGCAGCATCACCGCGCAATTTGGACACAGCGCGGCATTTTTAAATAGTTTAATTTAAATATATTTATTTGTGGGAGAACTCATGTCCAGGTCACGCTTGTGCAAATCAAGTATACAGCAATCAAACGAAGCTAAACAATAATTGGTAAGAAAACAAGTTTTTCAATGCACAACAGTTTATCTGCACTCACAAGTCAATCAAGCAATCAATATCGGGCCGCATTTCCTAACCGAATCGGGTCACCGGGGCAGCGACTCCACCAAGGCCTTCCACATCCTGTTGTGTCCTCCGCCAGCGGCATCAACCGGATCGCCGGTCTCTCCTTCTGCCAGGCGCACCACCACATTTGTCTTTCCAGGATGATCGCGGGTGGCCTCTGGGTCTTTTGCCCGGAGAAACGTCCTCCGAACTTCTCACTTTTATGTGCGCTCAGAAGTAGAAAATACATTCTTGTGACCCCCATAATTGATCAAATTTGATGTGCTCCACAAAAGTGGGTGGCTTGCATAAGACACAAATCAGAGTAGGTGTGTCTCTCTCCAGCCTACCGATCAATGTATCCGAACTTATATTCGAATCATCGTCACTCTATTTCATATCTGTTAACCCATTCGGTTTACCCCGCATTCTTGTGCAGGGAAATTGAGTTTTCAGGTCCATAGGTCGTACAGCCGTTTCAATCCTGGCTTTGTAGGATGAACGTTGAGATTTATGAGCGCACGGGGTGATCAATAAAGTCTGAATTGGTCTGTAATAAGCTAGGCACTGACAAGGGGTTGACGTGTATGCTATTCGGATTCACAATAACAACAACAACAGCATCCACACAACCGGCGGGAAGTGAGTGAGAGTGGGACAGGAAACGCGGGTCAATCGTCAAGGTCACGCGTCTCCTTGCGCCGGGCTCAACGTGACCGCGTTTCCTACCAGCGGCTCCCGTCAGCCGCTAGGGGCAGCATCGAAAGCACGAACGCCTCCCCACGCCTCCCCACGACTGCTGCTGCTGCCCCATCCTTCCCACCGCCCGCCACTCACCCACGAGGCCCACCACCACCCCCCCAGCCACCATCTCGCCGCATTCTGGCGCAAGCCGGCAGAGCTGGCCCGGCCCATCTCGCTGTTTGTTGGCTGGCGATGTCGCGGGCGAGGGGGGTGTAGTGGGGGGGGGGGGGGTGTAGTGGGGGGGGGGGGGGTGTAGTGGGGGGGGGGGGGTGTAGGGGGGGGGGGGGGTGTAGTGGGGGGGAGGGGTGTAGTGGGGGGGGGGGGGGGTGGGTGTGGGGGTGGGGGGGGGGGGGGTGTAGTGGGGGGGGGTTGTAGTGGGGGATGTAGTGGGGGGGTGTAGTGGGGGGGGGGGGGTGTAGTGGGGGGGAGGGGTGTAGTGGGGGGGGGGTTGTAGTGGGGGGGGGTGGTGTAGTGGGGGGGGGGTGTAGTGGGGGGGGGGGTGTAGTGGGGGGGGTGTAGTGGGGGGGTGTAGTGGGGGGTGTAGTGGGGGGGGTGTAGTGTAGTGGGGGGGGTGTAGGGGGGGTGTAGTGGGGGGTGTAGTGGGGGGGTGTAGTGGGGGGGTGTAGTGGGGGGGTGTAGTGGGGGGGGTGTAGTTGGGGGGGGGTGTAGTGGGGGGGGTGTAGTGGGGGGGTGTAGTGGGGGGGGTGTGTGGGGGGTGTAGTGGGGTGTGGGGGGTGTAGTGGGGGGGTGTAGTGGGGGGGTGTAGTTGGGGGGGGTGTAGTGGGGGGGGGTGTAGTTGGGGGGGTGTAGTGGGGGGGGGGTGTAGTTGGGGGGGTGTAGTGGGGGGGGTGTGTAGTGGGGGGGGTGTAGTGGGGGGGGGTGTAGTGGGGGGGGGTGTAGGGGGGGGTGTAGTGAGGGGGTGTAGTGAGTGGGGGGGGAAGGGGGGGGTAGT